TATGGGTCTCAAGGGATCGACTGTGTGGAAGGGTTGCTACTATCATATAGGAAAAGGCCGAATTTGGTACAGCTTCTGGGGCTGGGGCCTCATTGTTGCTTCTCTATTGCGACTGTGTTATATGGGTCTCAAGGGATCGATGTATAGAAGGCTTTCCAACTGATGTCATCATCGGGAGATGTTCCTAATACATGGCGGGGATTTGTTGTGGGGCGGAGATGTGATCTCATGGTAACTGTAGGTACTAGATTGTCGCATTTCGGAAGTTTGGATACTAGATTGTCACATTTTAAAATTTGGAGGCCAAATTGTCACTCGAGCCAAAATATAGGGTACTGATATTGAATTTTCCCAAGAAATAATAATAACAACAACAACAACAACATTAGGTAATGTTGAAATGTGAAAGGATTCTATTGAAGCAAAAATTTTGCAGATCGATGAAAGCATGAGAATCTTGTCATACATTGGGAACATCTCCCCATAAATTAGACATAAATGTAGGGAAAAAAATTATGTTGCTTGCAGGAAAAATTACTAGGGTACTAAACACCATCTAAGATGTTGGTGTGGGACAAATAAACCCATCAACAAACTAGAATATATCTTAGTAATTAGCTCCAAACAACACAATTTTGAAAAAAAAATCCCAAGTACATAAATTCTATTTCTCTTGAAACACTGCAATCAACCCAAATTGGAATCAAATTTATTTGTAAGACAATAAAAAAACCAAATTTGTTTGCTTTTTATTTGGGACTAGGATGATGAAAGATTAGCTTAATTTAATAGTTGTTTTGCTAGTCACGGAACCAACTATTTTGCTCCACACCAGCCATATAGTGAATATAAGGGAAGCCACCAATTTCTCACTTGCATTTATGGCTGAGTGGTGGCAACATATTTGGTTCCACAGTCAACAAAACAACTATAAAAAATCATTAACATAGGTTTTGGTTGTTCCAAACTAGTCTATACTATATGTTAAAACAAAATGGGCAATGACAACATGCCTCTCCTTTCTCCTCTTCCTCAACTAGTCTATACTATATATCGGCATAGGTTTAGGGTCAGGTGCTTTAAAGTTTAAACTATAGTAAATACCGATTGATGGCAAGGTTATCGGAGTAGGATAGGTTCTCGGTCGTTAGCAACCTAAGTATAGATATTTTTAGTTCAAGTTGTGTAATGTATCATTGGACAACTTGCACATCTTTTACTCATTTTGGAAGATATGAGTGAAGAAGATAACAAATATGGCTTGATGTCATTACTGCTCATCGACATCCTTAATAGTGTACAATTGGTCATGAGTTACCGACTGTTAAATACATGTACAACCACCACAAAGCTTGTTATAAGTAGACCTGTTCATGGCTGGGCTCAGGCTTGGCTTTTGCCAAATTTTGAATGGGGCTTGGCCCAAAGCCTAAGCCCGACACAGTGTAAGTCAGGCTTGAAGCCTGGCCCATCAACAAGTCTAGTTATGATGGTTATAATGATGTAAAGGGAACCACCATAGGACTTGTGATGAAGGTTATATTCATCGTCAAAGTTAGTACAAATTGCATAGTCAGTAATCAAAATCACAAAACTGCATGACTCCCAAAGCGTACAAGACTTGCAATGATACATGTGATGAACTTGTTGATCTTCCTATCAGTAGGGATGTCATTCAGAATAAAATGACTATAAGGAAAGACATTGCAATGACAACAACAAACACCACAGCGCGACCAACAAATCATGCACTTTCATATTCACCATGTCACTTAACTTGACATTGCACGATGCCACTAGGGCAGCACTTAATACAACAATGATATCAGCCTATCTATAATGTTGCATGTAAACACTTAGAAACGGTCTACCTATTTTATGTCTAACGAATTATAATTGTCTTTCTAAGATAAGAAATTTTCCTTTTCTCATTTTTCTTTGTTGCCTTTTACAACTACACCTCTCCTTGTATAAATAGCAGAGGCCTAAAGCCTTCTAGCCTCTTGCTTCCTTTAGAATTTCCTATTACCCTTTTCTAGCCTCCCTTGTAATCTTACCTGTCCACCCACAATGACAATCACATTAATTGAACCTTTCTTCCATTGGTACAATATTTGTTTGGCATTTTTACCAAGGTAATTTCTTTTGTTACCAATACCCATTTTAAACATATGGGCAAAGAAGATGAAGATTTTGGGTCCATGTTGACCTATTTAACAGCCAACACAAGGATCAATTGACCCAACTATCCTTATCCATACATTATTCCATTATAGGGGTAAACTCTTATGCAGAATAAAGATTGGATGCCAATCAAATGGAAAACTCCAAAAGGGAGTTCTATCAAAATTAATTTTGACGTGTCCAAAAATGATAAAGGTGATTGTGCAATTGGTTGCATTGCAAGAAATCAATGGGGGATTATTCTTGAGACCAAAGCTTATTTTATCGGGAATTCCTCAATTAATGTAGCAGAGACTTGGGTTGCATGGGAGGCCCACAATATTGCTTTTAACTATAGGGGTCTCCCCATCTTCATTGAAGGAAACTCTCTTTTTGTGATTTCGTGTTTAAAGAATAAAGTGGACTGCCCGTGGAGATTGAAGACCATCATCGAGGAGTGTTTGAAGTTGGCTGGAGATTTGGATTGTGGTGTCACCTACAACCATGTCTATAGAGAGGTCAGCCAGGCTGCGGACTAGATGGCAACCCAAGCTCTTTCTTTTCTTCTTAGCACTCTCAGTTTTTGCCCTCCCTCTATCCCTAGAGTCTTAAGTTTTATTTGTTTTTGTGATGTTTGGGGCTGAACTACCCCTCGTCTTGTGTAGTTCCTCCTATTTCTACCATAAAAATAAAAAAATAAAGGCTAGGGTCAATCCATTCACTCGTACACAATTGATCCTTTTGACCATTAACTTAATTAATTGTTTATTGGTTGGGATAACTTTATTTGTGCTTTTTCTATACATATATTTTTAATTAATTACTTGCACTTAATTAAACTAATTTATTAGTTAAAGTATAAAATTAATTGTTAATAACTTTTCTTAGTTACATTAACTAAAGAGTAAAAACGATCGTATACAATAAATAAATCGAATAATAAAAACAACATAACTATATTAAGATGGTTATTTAAGGAAACATCTGGATCGGGTTGGACAAATATCTTATCCATTGACGATCCTAATTGAATTCGGATATTCTCCTCACACAGTGCGCCTCACAACAACCTCACAGGCACATCCCACCATGCATTGGAAACATCTCCCATAAATAATAACACATAAGTAGGTGAAATGTTCCTAATGCACGATGGGATGTGTATGTAAAATCACAGTGAGACGCCATGCGATGAGGAGCAGATCCCACCCCGTCCTAAATAGGAGCATCCAGTTTCGCCATTAGTTATTTTTAGTGGGATAGTGCTAGATTTGAGTGCATTTAAAATTGATGTAATCAGTTCAATTCAATGATTTTATAGCTGAGTCAAGGAGTGTTGCTTTGACTAAGAGTCCCTGACTCCCTTCATGTGATTCTGTAAATGGGTAAATTTCATCAGTTTTCCTATTTCTTTTCCTTCATTTAATTCAAAACAGGGAGACCTACCTACCTTTCACTATTTTTTTTTTTCTTTATTAGAGTTCTTTTGCCATTGTTGTATATTGATGTCGTAACATTAAACATTGTCAAAAATCATGGTTTCATGGCTTAGGTGTAATGTTCATCTACAGGCAAGTCACTCTTATTATCAATTTGAGGCGTGGGCGTATCGTATTGGTATACATAGGCAATGGTACACGATATGTTACAATTGGTATGATATATGTCCAATTGTGTGTATTACAATATATTTTATTGTTAACATGCGATCAAAACAAATACCATATGTTTATGTTCAATAACTCAAACTTAAAACTAAAAAGAATAATACTAAAAATTGCCATTTCATAAACATTAATGAAATAAATAATCTCTCAACTTTACTTTTATATAAAAAATTGATTTTTATTCTTAATAAATTTATACAAATAAAAATACTAATAATTGAATAATTATTCTAGTACTTAAAATTTATAAATTTGTACATGGTGTATCTTATAAACTTTACAAATTATTAATTAGTATTTTAGTTTACACTACATAGCAACTTATTTATTATTTACAATTTTTTTTAGAAAATACTCAAGAACATAATATTAAATTGAATCTATTGAATCCATTAATCTATGCTCATATAAAAAATGCTTTCTTATTTCATAAAATTTATAAAATAAAATGTTAATAGTGAAACAATTATTCTAATAATTAAAATTTATGAATTTGAATAAAATATGTATATTATATTTTTAATATATTTGATATATTTTGAGTTAAGATTATTTATTTTTTTACAAATTATTAAATATTGATTGATATTTTATAGTAACATATTTAATGTTTAAAAAATAAAAATATTATTTACTAAGAATTTGGATATTTAGTTGAATTTTTGTTAACTTTGATAAATAAAATTAGTAAAATAGAAAATAATTGATATATTAATTAAAATATAATATCTATGCATGCTAATGTATTAATTCTAATATGTTTATTCAAATATATCATTAAAATATATATTTCCTATATATTTATACCTTTTTATTTTATATTATTGATATATTTAATAAATTTATATATATATATATTCCTAACATATCCGAATATTTCCATTACTTTCATTTGTATTCATACATTTCCAAAGGATATGTAACGGTATTCATATGAATCATATTAAAGTCATGACATACGATTATCCAATGGTCCGTAATTTTTCATGATATATTTATAATATTATCACGTTATGAATTTTCTGATATCCAAATGTATCAGGCTATGTTTGGTTTGAAGGAAAAAGTAGGGAAAGGTATAGGTTTGTTTACTTTTCTCTTCCTTTCCTTACCTTTTCCTTCAAACCAAACTTGACCTTATTGATTGAAATAACCTGTAATGCATTAATGCTCCAAACAACGTTGTATTTTCCAGACAGCCAAGCTTTTCTCTGATTACAGAATTTGGAGCTTTGGTTTGCTGCATCCTGCAAGAAATTGTGAACCCAGCAGGTCCCAGAAACCATGAAAAGGGGGAATAAAATAAAGCGTCAGAGAATTTACTTCCACTCCGTTCAAATTCAGACGTAAATAGAACTTGTACCATTTTGTCTTCCGGTGGACTTCTGTGCGTTTTTGTTTTTTATGTTGAACCCTAGCCTTTCTCAGCCTATCTTCCTCTTGTTCGAATAGATTTCAATTTATACAACCGCTCCTGTATCTCTGTTACTCTGTTCATCAAGCCTTAGATTCAAGATTTCTCTTGGCTTCCACGGCGTTTAATTTGTCTGAAACATGAGATTCGTGAACCTGTTTTGGTTTGTTATCCGGATTGGTGGAGTTTCTGATGCTTTCCTATCGAAAAGCTGGATTCTTTTGATCTGCAGAGATTAGAAACCCTAGAGGATGGAAAGCAAAGGAGTTCTTGCAGTAATTCTATTAATCTTGATCTTTACGGAAGGATCCCATGCCTTTTTTCTCGGAAAGCTTAGAATAAGGGCGTCGAAGATTGCACCGAAGGAGAAACCCGCTGGAAAAGAGGTAACGTTCGCCCTTTCATTCCGTTTCGCTTATTATGATATTCATTTTGCTCGTTTCCTATATTTGAATTTTCAAAAATTATGTTGTTCTTAGATTCCTCCGTCCCCTAGCCCCACGTCAATGCCGAGTTTGGATTCTAGCCATCTCAGTCCCGACAATTCAACAAAAGCACGGCCGAAAGGCTCAGATGGTCAGGGTGCACAGATTCCGCAGACTAAAACGCCGAGTAACCAAAGCGGGAATAAATCTAACAGTCCCGTTGGTTCACCAGAAGGAAATTGTGCAGACACACCCAACAGATGCACAGATAAGAAGAAGATGATTGCCTGCCTTAAACATTCTGAAAATGGTAATGAAAATCCTTTCCCTTTACGTGTCTTGCCCACTTATATTCCACCACCTGTAATTGTTTATTTTACCTTTCTAAATCGAGTCTAGTTATGTAGTCGGCTACATGGATTTTGCATTTTTAGTTAGTCTCTAGTATGCCGATTTTGTTTAATTTGGCTAATATCCAATTGCATGATTACACCATAGCGATGCCTATAGGTGAAATCCATCCCTGAAATACCTTATAGTTGGTTCTTATATTATTGAAGAATCATGGGTTTGTCCTAGGCCTTCATGCTTGGGCATAAGATTTTCTTATTCAACTTGTTAGTTCTGATCTTAATTTGAACTTCTTCCAGTTTGTATATATTTTTTTTGAGAAAAGGTAAAGTATGATTGTATTAAAGTAAAAGCCCTTTGTACAATGAGAATCTGTACAAAAAGCTAACAAGTTGGACCTCAAAAAAAGGCCATCCTCAACAAAAAACTATCTGACATGTCATCTTCCAGTTTGTATTTTGACTCGGGGTGAATTGTGTTCTTTGACATGTATATTTGGTGTTCCCACTATTCCTTTGACTATCATCAATTTATAAGAGAATCCATAAGGGAAGGAACATCTTTGATTGTTGTTAGATTTTTATTTTTATTTTTATTTGTTTTAATTGATAATTGAGAAGACTGCACTGAAACCATACAATAGGGCATAGTTTTCAAGGTGCCAAGGCAAAGCTAGGCGATAGGGGAGCACCTTATTGCCTAGTCACCTGGGCAATGCCTAGGTTCCCACCTAGGCAATGGGTTTTTAGATTAAAAAAATATAAATCCTAGAGTAGCTCCTTAGGCCTCGTTCGTTTGCATCTTTGTAACTTACCTGGGTAAGTGCACATACCCATGTTCTTTTGATTTCTGAGATTCCCAGGTAAGTAACGGAATGACATTTTTACCCATAAAAAGCTAATATAAAAATGGGCAAAGTTGTCCCATTATGCTTTATAAAATTTCCCCCTAGGTGGGAACCCGCCTGGGAGATGGGTAAGTTTTACCCGGGGAAGTGGAGCTTAGTTTACCATGGGGCCCATTAGTAAATGCAAAAAGAACAATGTAAAGTTGGTCAATGGGAAAAAGATACTCATTGACCAACTTTCCCAAGCTTATTTACCGGTAAACGAATGAGACCTTAGATTTCATAGTAATAAGCAGGAATCTTTAACTAATAATTATCATAATCCTCATGAAATAAGTATAGACCCCAATCCAAAAGATAAAAAATCAACATAGCTACGAGAAGAAAAACAAGGAAGGAAAAAAAAGAAGCATACAAACATAAGAACTAGGCCCCTGTTTTGGTCCTAGGAAGAAGATCATGATGAAGAAAAAGTCCTATTGATTGTTCTCGTATGTCAATAAGATAAAATGTTCAAGTTATTTCTTAATTTTTTTTTGGATGAATTCAAGTTATTTCTTACTTGTGGATTTAGGTTTTAAAGTCTTAAAGGGTTCAAGACTATGTCACTGACTTGTGTGTCAATTGAACCCAAACAAATAAGAAAATAATAAAAAGAAACTAGTATAAGAATAATGATATCATTACTATAAACCCACAATATGAATAATTTAGTCAATTAATATCTATTGTACTACTATTAATAACATAAAATAAAAATATAAAATTATTATGTGATCTCTTGCATATAAATATGTAAGTGTTTGGATAAGGCGATTCTCAAAGAGCCCCTTATTGCCTAGGTGTCACCTTGAAAACTATGCAATAGGGGTCAATTAGCTGGTAAATGAATAAGAATAATAAGCTTTACCAAGAACTACAAAACCATGCAACAAAGCCTTATATCAAATATTTAAGGTTGGCTACAATTTTATGCATACACTCTACTTAGGTTGTATCTCTCTAGGTCATTTCATGGTACTCAACCCATGTCCTCATTTTCCTTCTCCTTGCTCTTCCTGAATTTTCTATTTACACCAAGTCACTTCTCCTCATCGGTGCAGTTACCGATCTTCTTTACATGTGGCCAAGCCACGGTGAACTTTTCCTCATCTTGTCACCTATTGGAGTTGTATATACGTTTTAAATAGATACATTCTTTTTTAATTTATCCTTTCTCCGCTTTCCACTCATCCATCCTAGCATCTTCATCTCAGCTATACTTATTTTTCTGGGCATGTTTGTCCTTAGTAGGAATCACTGATTGCAGATTTAGTTGAATTTCTTGTGAAGGGAAAGAGGAGGAAGATGAAGATTTCAGCAATAGAGAAGAAAAGAGGAGGAGAAAAAAGTAGGAAGTCAACCAAGATTCTTAGATAAACCCTAGCCGCCAACCCCTCATTATAATTTATACTTAACTTAAAGGATGAGATATTACAAGGATGCCCTTAGTAGGGCGGCTACTAATGTAGCTGAACAGTCACAGCTTAAAAACATAAACTAATGGGCCTAAAGCCCAACAACTTCCTAACTAAATAACTTAAAATAAGAATAAAAACAACTAGGCCCAACTCAACATCCTTTAATACCACTGGTCTTAAATCTGCCTTTAAGATTTTTTTCCTTTTGTTCTCATTGGTTTGTGCTGATCACACAGAATGGCAGATGCATTTTATTTAAACCAACTGCTCAAAATCTTCTAGATATGCATCTGTTCTTGAAGGTATTCCCCTTCCTTTCTTCCAAAGGGACCAAATAATAGGAACTACAGAAGATGCCATAAAATTCCCTTGCTGGTCAAGCTAATATGGGTTTGTCTTGGGGAGTAGCTAAATTCATCCAAATTCTCCTTAAAATCTGGTTGGGATCACTGACATCAGTCACTACAGCAAGTAGGGAGATTCTGACCCATAACTTTGCATATAGGGGAAGACATGCATCAGTGAGATCAAATGATCAGTCATTAAAAGTTTGCCCTAATACTTTCACATTTGCATCTATGAGGGCTCCAAATAAACTTGACTAGAATCACTCTTGAATCCTTTGTTCAGAGGAATACTTTCACATTAAAATCTGGTTGTGCAAGGTTTTGATTAAGAAAATAATTATGTCCACTTTCTAACCTCAAACCTCTCCCTTCAATCCTTTGTTCAGAGGAATGCACTGAATTAGGTGGCAATAATTCATACAGAAAACTGGCTTCTTAATCATTCACAGTTTTTTTGGAGTCAAGGTATATACATTATGGAATCAACTAGCCACCAATCACAACTTTTAACGATCACCTCCTTATAAATGGTTGATTGCATGATGAACAAGAAAACCTGATTTAAGTTTAATCCCACACCAAACATCATCCCAAAATCTGACAATTTATTGTCATAACCAATTCATTCATAACACTTTAGTTATGTTATAGTCTTCTAGATGACATTTTGTATTCTAAACTAGATGGTTCACCTTTGTAGTGGTCAAAATCATAAAAAAAAAAAAAACTTGAGATTGGATTCATCCGCCCTGCTCATTGGTTTGAGAATGCAGTGTGGCTGCCATTCCCGTAATCATTGTCTTTACATCACTTTGTTTTGGAGCATGTTCACTTCATTACTGTGTCAGATTTAAGGAGACAAATGAAGACCAACTTCTGAAGGAACAATTTCAGGAAAATTGAAGAGCAATGAAGAGGTTTTTTATTAGAAACAATTAAGACCTAAGAGGGTTTTTATTTGAGTGATGGATGAATTTTATTAGAGACAATTAAGAGCGGAGAGGGGTATTTTTTTATCAGTAGAAAAATATTTTATTAATATGACTTGAAGATTACAAAAGTTTACAAATTTGCCCAAAACAAATGTTATCTTAAAGCCCCTTGCTTTGCTAGAGTGTCTGTCATTCCATTTGCTGTTCTTCTACCCATATGAAAGAAACATTTAACTCCCTTATTAAACTCTGTCTCCCTGACTTTATTTTGGCAATGCGTGTGTGTGTGTGTATTAACTTCAGAAGTTGGTTTCTTACAAGCAAGACCTATGGATGGCTAACCCTTCCAAGGATATGTTGAAAGGAGGTCCTTGGGAAATATCAGTTGTCTCCTTTCCATGTATAGGAAACCACATCTGTTTTTTCCTGCTTTAGGTCATAACGACACAGTGTAAATAGCTGTTTGAACTTGGAGGGCTATTGATCAGATAGTTTGGATGTACCGTGTCAACCAGAACTCATCATCATTGTCCAAGCCTTATCCCAACATGTCAACCAGAATTCAAAAGATAAAATAAGGGAAAAGGAAATGTGATTGAAAATTTGCCGTTTCATTTTTTCAGTTGATTTCTTCACAGAAAGGAATCATGTTTTGACTTCTTTTTGCCCCTCTAACAGGATCCCTGGAGTTATTCCTTCTGGTACAGAATGATGGAGAGGACACTTTGAAAACAAACGTCATAGTCCCGGCATCTATAGACATTCCTGTCAAGCAACTGGAGATACCGAAACACCAAACCAGAAAGGTCTGGCTCAATAGCCTTTGTATTTCTTTTTACCATGTTTTTCACACCAAATATATATAAATACGACAGCATGCACAAATACACCTGACACATACATGCACATCTGCATTTTTTCTGTGTACCTTAGTAGTTTGCCTTTGTTTCTTTTGTTTCAGATCAAAATCTCAGTTAGTACGGAAGAAAGCCTCAAGATAGTATTAAATGCTGGAAATGGGCAATGCGTGCTTCACATGGGATCATCTGTATCTGATGGCTTTTTTCAGCGAATCCCTGCTTATGCCAACCTCGTGACACCCATCCATGGTGTTTACTTCTTGTTTCTAATTTCTTTGATAGTTGGGGGGACGTGGGCCTGCTGCAAATTGGGGGAAAGGCGGCACAGTGATGGAGTCCCATACCAGGAGCTTGAAATGGGGCTACCAGAGTCTGTTCCAGCTGTTGATGTGGAAACAGCAGATGGTTGGGATCAGGGTTGGGATGATGATTGGGATGAAGAGAAGGCAGTGAAGTCAGTGGGTGGAAACGGCTCTTTAAATGGCATTACTTCCAAGTCATCTGATAGAGATGGATGGGAAAACGGTTGGGATGATTAGAATTTTATGGAGAAAAAAAAAGAAGAGTGAAAAGTATTCTTATTGGGGAAAATGAAGAAAGCCATATTAATAGAGGGGTGAGAAAATTAGAAGTTGTAGTTTTCACTTGTGTAGCATTGTATAATGCCAAATGATAAATTTTGATATAGTGAACGAGAAACAGTTTTGGTGATTATTGAAGAGAGCAGGGTGGTTCTTTTGTTCCCTCTGTTGGGTCTCGTAGAGTTGTTTCATAAGCTATTGTTCTTTTGTTTTTTGGGACTGTATGATGCCAATGTCCATCAGAACCGATCTATCTCCTGTGAGTTTGTGACTGATTAAAGTTTACCACCACCCTGGGTTGGTGGAAACATGAATGATGAAGCTACTTGCATGTCCATAGCTTCAAGGCCAGTATTTATGTGCCGCTCCAACAAGCAATTTTTTATTACTTTATGAAGATTCTGAGATCTTTCAATTACTAATCCTTGTTTTTATTTACTTATGTTTTAATTTACGGTTCTGCTGTGTCTTGAGATCTGACATTTAGTCCTTTATCTATGGTGAATATAGGGTTGATCAACTGGAAGCAAAAACCAAGTTTGAACCCATCCTAAACCCTATTTGTGCTTTGGGTGTCTGACCCTGAGGCTATTACCCAAGGTTGGTCCTGGTTATTTGGGGTCTTGGAAGGGGTGGACTGAATACTGATATAACCTCTACCATTTTTTGTACAAAATGGCTGCTACCAGACTTGAACCTACGTTCTTGTTAGATCGGGATTTCATCATTGCACTGAATATAGGCCTTAAATGGCTGCTCCCAAACATGGCTTTGGGAGTCAACTTAATCCTTTTTTGTTTTTCTACTATTAATACTATATAATCAAAGTTAACTTTTATGGTCTGCACTAAAATGAAGGAAAATATCCCTTTTATATACTACTAGTGAAGATTTGTGCAATGCACGGGAAAATCTGAAAGATTGAATAATTGTATTTATTATTAATTAATTGATAAATTAATGATCAAAATTTGTTGTTAATTAACTATAAGTATTCAAAGTTATTGTTAATATTTGAAATTTTAATAATTGTATTTTTCATTTAATATTGATTTATAGAAAATAATTATTATTTTTTAATAAATTTAATTTTATTAATAATTTGTAGTAATTTTAATAACTATTATTATTTTCATTATTTTTAAATGAAAATTTGATTGACTTTAAAATAAATAAAAATAATTACCAAAGCTAATATTTTTATTAATTTCACTAATAATCAAGAATTATATAGGAATTGCAACGGGGTGAGGCACCCCATCCCTATCCCCTCCCCTTAGTCGCACTCTACCCTATCCTAGCCCCGTCCCCAATGTCAAGCGGGTTCAAGGGAAGACATCCATTCCCCGTTAGGGATGGGGAATCCTCGAATTTCCCTACTTCGTCCTTGGTGTCGGACGAGTTCATGGCAAGGCACCCCACTCTTTATAAAGTATGAGGAATCATCGAATTTTTCTCGCCCCATCCCTCTTGTCGGCATAGTAAGTATTAGCTACATGGTAAATTTCTAAAAGTACACTAAATTGTCTTTAAATTTCAAAAATGTAATTTTATGAAAATTTTGGAAAATTTATTACATTTGTGTAATTTTGAAAATGTATTCAAATTTATTTTTAAATTGTTATTAAATAATTTATTTTTTTAAATGGTTTACTTACAAGAATTATACTAACTTATCTTATATTTTCTAATATAAACTAATTAATAGTTTCTTTTTTCCAATATTATACTAATTTATCTTAATAATTTATGGAATTATTGGTTCAAATTACAATTTTTCCTTTCCTATACTCATTTATCTTTAATAATTTTCAATAATTTACAATGAAAATTTGATAAGTTTTCAATAGTTTTCCAAAATCTATCAAATGTAATAATTTTTTTTCTAAAATTTCCAAAATATTCTAATAATTATTTAATACATTTTAAATAAACTTTTAATAATTTTGTATATTTTAATTTCTAAAATGTTATTTTTCAAAAATGTAGTTTTACGAGAATATTTGAAAACTTTATTACATTTGTGTAATTATGAAGATTTATTGAAAAATATTTTAAATTATTATTAAATATTTATTTTTATTAGGTAACTACTAACAAAATTACACTAATTTATCTTTTATTTTTCAATATAAATTAATTAATAATTTCATTTTCCAATAATATAATATTTTATTCTCCCTTCTGCATTCTTTTATTAACTATAATAATAACGATAACTAAAATTTTTACTTTTTGGTAATTGTTAAATATAATTCTCAACTTTATAGAAATTAGTTAAAGAGTTTTCAATTTCTATAAAATGTTGTTATTTAACATCAATATAACAATATTTACCCAAAATACTTTAAAAAGTAATGATGAGTTAATTAATAACAGTATTTATTAATTTTTAGTAATTTACTAACCGTATTTATTAACTTTTGGTAATAGCACTATTTAATACTCATTGAATATGGGTTAGATTAAATCTTAACCATATTTAACTATTTATTAATTAATATGAATATTTTAAATGAGAGATAGTGGATAGATTGGGAGGGGGGGAGAGATTTTAGGAATTGATTGGGGAGTGGGGTAACATGATAAGTTCCTAATGACTTAGAGAAGATATCTTAGGAGAGATATTATAGGAATATTTTTAGGTAGTTGAGTTGGGAATGGTGACATGGCTTAATGGGAGTGGTGGGAAGTAGGGGTGATCATGGGCCGGGCCCGGACTGGACTTTGCACTTATGATAAGGGCTATAGCTTAGGTCTGGCCAGGGGTTCCTGGCCTGAAACATAAGCCCTATCCCAAGTCTATATGGGCTCAAGCCGGGTCAGACCTAATTTCGGGCCAATGTCACTCATATATAAAACATTACATATCTATACATTAAATGACATAATATGCATATAAACTTATTTTATACATTATACAATATAAAATATTACATATAGTATAAATTATACATGTCATGTTATAATATTTATATATAAAATATAAAATATAATGTAAAATAATGTGTATACATTATACACAAAATGTGTAAATTTAAATATATGCAGGTTGAGTTGTGTCCGGGCTGGGCTTGAAGTATTAAGCCCAAGCCTGGCCCTAAAATTTGCGGGCCTGAACACAAAACTTAGGCCCAAGCTCGAAATTTCCGGACCGGGCTTGTGCGGGTCGGGTCGGGCTAGGCTGAAATTATCACCCCTAATGGGAAGGGAAGAGGAGAGAGAGTCAATGAGAATGTAGGGCAGGGGTAATGAAGTAAGGAGAGGCATGTTGATGTAGACCATCTTATTATGTATTTACTAGTGGGGACCCATATAGTGCATGAGCTTTGTTAAGTGAAAGTTAAACAATAGAAATACAAGAGTATATAATTGTTTTATATTTTAACTTTTTAATAACCAATCCAATCGAACTCAACCTGAATTGGTCAGTTTTTTAGTATTTCTGATCAGTTTTGGTTTAACAATCTTCTAACCCGACTAAGGGGAGAGGAGATAGTTTAGGAGAGAATCTCTAGGCTTAATTAGAGATTATTTAAGAGATAAATAGGAGATAGAGATAATTTAGGAGATAAATAGGAATTAGAGAGAATTTAGGAGAAAGTGGGGAAATGTAATACCACTTGACTAAACATTAGAAAAGCAAATCCCTTTTTTCTTATTGGTTGTTAGAAATAGTTAAGCCTATATTATTTCCCTATTGATTTAATGGGTAATTATATGAAATAAAAAAAAACAAGAAATTAAGGGGTTTGGAGCAAGGAGAGGCATGATGACTTGGACTGCTGACGTAGCCCCAACTCAATACAAATTATGCTTGTTGAGGGAAATAGCCGGACTGAATCCGATATCTGATATTTCTTGTAATGAGTTAGATTTTTATGGCTACCTGGGTCTGGGAACAAGAAGAGTCATTTCCCCAGTGATCATCTTTTTGATCGGCTGGCCCCTGGGTTGGGTTGCTTTAACTTTTCCTTAGGTAACATGTGATATAAACAAAGGACCAAGATGGTACATCAATTGATGATTGTTAGCAACCTACCGTTGGATTGGAACCATTTGGTTGATATACTTGTCAACGAGGGACGGTGTTGTGGGATTTATTGGACTGGAATCCATTGACATTGCAGGTCTCAAAGGAAGCAAGCAAAGTGATGATCGACACTCCCCAAGTCCCAACTCATTAAAACTTGACACAGATTGTAAGTGTCGTCGCAGTTTGATCATTTTCATTACGTGGACCTTGTAGTTGTAACAAGGAAAAAGAAAAAAGCTGCATTATGTCTAATTTGCGTTGAGGAAGGAGGGAGGATTTGCATCGTTTCCTAATTCCTTGCTTGCCTTGTACCCCTCCCGTCTCCGTTCTACTGTTACTTTTTTTGTTAAACTAGACTCCATTCAAAATCATTCCAGACTCCAGAGGAATCTGGGTTAAGGAAAACCGAAAATATTACTAATCGATTGCCTTCTGACTGAAAGGTTAACTAAATGCAACGCAAAGTTCAATTCTCATAACATGGGTCCAGTCCAGCCGTCCAGGGTGTATGATGCAGAGAGAGTATGAGCATCCATCGGGACCCCTTTTCTTCCTGCTCATCCCCCTAGTGAACTGAAGGCCAAGGAATTCCGAATTCCGTATCAGTCAATGCAAAGACAACATTCCTTCCTCAGACCTCGGTCCTCACCCATATATTGGTTTGGTCCCCTTCTTTTCAATTCCACCTTTCATTTAAGTATGGACGGATGTTCCAAATTCCTACACTGTTGATTGTGTTGAATGGACCATAAGAAAATAAAGAAAACAGCGAATTTCTTTTTACCTAACACCAAAAGTCACATATGTCTACCAGGGCCCAGGCCCAGGCCCAGACAAATTGAAATTTTGAAATTTGAACCGTAGAAATGGAATGCTCAATGCTGTACCTGAACTACACAAAATTCTGGAATGTTCTAAGTTCTATCATGGGTCAGTCATATGACATTGTCTGTCTCAATGATGCACCAACTGGGCAGTGCCATTTTATGCCATTTGATTTGACTTTTCTCCCAGTCCCAATCCTCTACTATGGAACCGGAGGATACTGATTTACACGGTAATCTTGTATCTATCTCGCTCCATGGCCATTAGCCAAGATGCTCCATCAAAGGCGGTTACATGGCAATAGATTCAATGGGGTCCGCACTCCTCACGCTTTTATAGTTTTTGTTGTTCACGTGTCACGAAAGCAATCAGGGATGCGTTGCGCATCAAGCACCTGGCGTAATGTAGAAAATTTCAATTACCCTTTATTACTCTTATGTCTAATAATGCGTAATTTAGAAGCTCGGGAGTATATTATAATCGTACTTAGCTCACCTCACTGACCAAAGAACCAGCAATTTTCCGTTTCTACTCCGCCGCTACCCGCTTTGTGATTTTCGTCACTCAAACTCTCTTCTGCTCGTTCACGCTTTCTCATTCAGAGGATCGCCATGACGGTTTCATTGGAGAACTACCTCGTTTCGCACATAAACCCTAACCCCACTTCGCTTAGGAAGAGAGGTTCGAACTCCATGGCCTTATCTAAACCTCCCACCTTTTCCTCTTTTCGTTCCGAATCTCCTTCACTTCTCCGTCCTCGCAAGGTCACGGTTGTCGGCCACTGCATATCTCCCAAGTTCTTAGGACCTCGTTTTGTTTTACTCTATCGCCAAAGGTCGAATAATGGATCGGTTATCTCATTTGCTGCTTCACACGGAGACTCGGTAAGCAGTATTGTGGAGCCGTTTCCACTTCTCTGTAGTTGGCTTCTATATATAGATGCATGTTTAATCATTTTATTGTGTTGAGTTGTGAATTTTCAGCTTGGATTTTATCACTGTAGTATTAGGGGTACAACTCGAGCGTTTTCGTTTAGAATCTGACCATGATTGCCAGTGCCTTTGTATAACAACCGGGGTTTTGGGGTACTTAACCTCATGGTTTCATTAGCTCGTTTTTTTCCTTAACGTAGAAAATGAAATTTCCATTGGGATGAGAAGCAATGGATGGGGAGATGCTTTAATCCCGGCTCAGAAACAACTCCGTACATCCTTATGACAATTGGATGGAACAATCACAAAGAATTTGGTTATGCAGCAATGGAATAGGTAGTTTATAAATATCATTTGTTTGATAATGAATTAATAGTTTCCCTGCTTTGGGTAAGCCTGTGAGTATCTAGTAATCAAGTTGGTGGATACGACATTAGAATTCCAGGCATATTGTTTCAGCACCCTCAAGACCATATGGAGTATGCAAGCCACATTTTCAGTTTTTCACCACCAATTGGTGCCACATATAATATTCCTTCTATGGATGGTGTTCTGTAGATGTTATTAGAAAATTATCTCTTGATGGCATTGGAGGAGACAGGTACTTTGTAGGTTTTGTACCTTGTGGAGGGTATGCAAAGATAAAGCCCAAGAACCTCTAGATATCTTCGTTATTTGTAGGTTGCACTTTTGTGTTGCCCCTTCTGATGTTTGTGCCCCACAGGCTTGTATTACTTGTATACTCCTCTATCTTCTCCTAATAAAATTTTACCTTACCGTTTCAGAAAAAAAAAACCCTTAAGGCTGATGGTATGCACACGAATTTCCAAAACATGGAGTGAGATTTAATCTCTTAGTTGGATTAAATTATGGAAGACAAGGTTGTGTTATTGCTATTGTTATATTACCTTCCCATTTCAACCAGGAAAGTTAAATGTGCTTCTCTTACCTTAATGTTAGAGGGTTTCTTACTTCGAGAAATTAGGATGGTTCTTCTCTGGTTCTTACCTTTGAGAAGATACAATGGTTCTTCTTGGTTAAGGCACGATCAATACTCAGGCTTAGGTTGATATTTTCTTGGTTGGCATCTTCAATTTCATATTCTCCTTTCCTAATAAAAGTTCGAAGTTTATTTTTGCACTTTTTAATAATTTTTTTTTTGATTTACCAGAAGAATTCAGAGATTGAAGTTGAGAAAAGTGAGAGTGATGAGCCTGACATAGGAGCTGAGGAGTCACAGGAAGCATGGAAACAGATACTAGAATCTTTCAAAGAACAGGCTATAAAGATGCAGGGCATGTCTCAAGAAGCATATGAATTGTACTCTAAGAAGGCAATGGTGATTTTAAAGGAAGCATCAGAACAGCTAAAAATCCAGGCAGAGAAAGCAAAACATGATCTTAGTATAGTAGCAAGAGAAATCAATCAAGAAGGTAAAGTATATCTTTCTACAGCAGCAGAGAATTCTCCTGAGCCGGTGAAGGACATTGTGGAAACTTTTGCTTCCTCAACTGATGATTTGAAAGCAGTTTCTGAAGTTCGAGACTTTTACCTTGGGATTCCATATGGTATGTACTGTCTATTAGATATGGATACCCGACGGAAAATGTGCTTTTGTTCTTTTCCCTTTATGCATCTTAATGGTCATTTTCTTCTCATTCCTGATAATCTTTTGGTTCACAGAGATAAGCTGTAGTTGTAACTTGTAAATTGTTTTGGTTTGACTTACACATTTTTGTTGGAGTTCCTTGTTCTATGTAGGTCTCCTGCTTTCTGTTGGCGGCTTCCTTTCCTTCATGCTAACTGAAAACATTGCTGCCATTAGGTTTGGGGTTATTCTTGGGGGTTCTCTTTTAGCCTTAAGTATATCAAGTTTAAGGTCATGGAAAAGGGGAGAATCATTTACTCTGGCTTTGAAGGGGCAAGCAGGTTAGTGATTCCTGTTGTTTGAATTGACTTCTATAATTAGTATCATATTCTTAGTTTATTTTATTTTTTATCAATGGATTCCTTGAGTGACAATGTTGATCCTGCATGTTTCTGGTTTCTTGTGAGAATGTATTAGGCAGGTCTCTATTTTTTCTGTTCATTTGGTTATCTAAGATAGCATGCAGCTTTAATACATGGATGAAAGCAGGGACTAGGGAAGATAACATTTAAATGGATGGATGGAATGAGGGTAGAGAAACATTTGAGTGCTGGTTGACCTCTGTGCCCATCTAACTAGCCTATGACAATCCAAGTCTCCCTCAACCTCTACATGCTGTGGACTAGTTGCTGCCACAAACCTGAGGCTTTGGTGTAGTGCTTCATTCTCAGGTTAAGACAAGCCCTCTGACTTATGGAGCAACTGTTAAAATGAGTCTGTGAGAGTCCATCCCCTGACCATCTCATCAATGCAGAAATATATGAAGTCCTATTAGTATGTAGCTATTGGACTACTCTGGTGGTGATGGACTGTAATACCTGGATACTTGTACATGCTTAAGTTACTTGTGTTGGACATGATATGTACCTGATAGGACACCAGATGATTCAGGAAACTTGTTTACTTCATGGTGTTAACATTTTATAAATATTTAATGTGGTATGGTATATTTTGACAAATCATACTATAAAATATGTATATTTTAGAAGTTTAATTTAATTTCCCAAGATGGAGGTAGGGAGGGAGAAGGTTTGATGACCTTTTCTCCCTCCTAGATGAACTATATACAAATCTGTCCCTTCCCTTCCTAAGAGAAAAGAAGTTGTCTGCAAAGGGTGTAGGTTTAACAACTGCAAGGCTGTCATTGAGCATCAAATAGGGTTATGAACTGCTCCAAATCCCTACAACACAAGTCAGATGTAACAAAGAGATAATAGTTTGCTAACTAATGTTCTTTACAAAGAAAATGCATTTCTTTTTTTTTTTGGGGGGGGGGCAGGGGAGTAAATGCTAGGATTTCCTTTTGCACTGGTACATTTAGCAAGTGTTAATATTTTTGTTGGCTTGGTGCATATCTTCTTGGCAAAATATTCTAATTTTTGAAGGAATAGGTACTTATAAAAAAAAATAAAAAATGAAGGAATAGGACCTAGCCAAAGTGGTTTTACACAAATACTAATGGAGATAAGAAATTTTCACTTAAAACCTTTAAGAGAGAGGAGCAAGTAACTGATCTAGTTCAGTCCAAGTTCCAAATCTGACCATTCATCCTAGATGGGCCAAGAGAATCATCTGGTAAATAGTTAACAAGGGATGCAGTATCCAAAGTTGTAGTTGTTAGGACTTCTTCTGATTGCTAAGTTCTAATATAATCTTGCAGGAGAAAATCTGTACCATATGGATCTTCTTAGACCTTGCTATGGAGTTGCTTCTGATCCCATCTGGGTGCAAGTTGGGTGCTTGATTTGAAGAATTTACATTTTAAATTTCAACAAATTTTCAACTCAATCCCACCAAAGTTGTGTCCTTCCCATCGAAACCTTTCTATAATGCTTGCAAGTAAACTTTTCTTTTAGACCATGTCAGTTTGTTCTGTTGCATCATAATATAGTATGCATTCGTATAGGGTTATTCTTTTAGTTGTTCTATAAGGATATTTCTTGTCATCTACTCATCTAGCATTATGCACCGACTTTGATTTTCAAAAGAATAAAATATAGGTTGAAATTTGTCTCAAATGTCATGTTGATAAGGAGTACTCTCTCTCTAATGGTATTGCTTATATTTCTATTTCTGTTATTTATTCTAGTTTATTTGCTTTTTTTAATTGGTATCTTGGAAGAATGATCTCTGACTAGAGTTTCATGGATGCAGCTATTGCAGGCATACTATTTTTAAGGGAGTTACGCTTGCTTTCTCAGGTAAAAGGCTCTTCATTGTGTAGTTGAGAGTTCTCTTATATCATAGTTTGTCATGGAATGGATATGGCTATTTGCTACTACCCCTTCCCAGTAATCTGTTATAAGTTTCTGATATTTCCCTTCTTTTCTTTGCAGAGACCATCACTTACAAGTTCTTTTACGACTTTCATCAGGTTTCTTGATATTTTCTTGGTTTTTGCCATTGGCATCTGCATGTGTGTTTTCTAGTGATTGTATTTTGGTTCTTCATGAGTCTTGGGGGTTTTTTAACCCCAAAGTTTTCTCCATGTAGTGGGATGCTACCTAGAATTTTATTGGTTTAAAAGTTGCACCATGTGCAGAATGAACAGATTTTTGTTGAAATAAAAATATAAATTGAAACATTATGCTTATGTAAGGTTAGTATTTGACATCTTCTGATTTCATGAACACATTTTGCGTAAGCTTTAATGGTAGCTTCGGATTTTACTTTATAGGTACAATTCTGACTGTAGCCTTTTTTTTTTTGCAGCGGTGTCATGGTGGCCTTCTATTTGTATAGGATCATGTTAAATGGTGGTCAGAAGAAAGGGCCAAGCTTGGGATATGGGTCAGAAAATTAGTATGCTTATGCAAGGTTAGTATTTGATATTTGTCACTTCCCAACAGGAAATATTAATTCGGTCATGCCATTTAAGGTGTTAACAATTGTGACCTGCATCATACCTAACAAATCAAAACTTGCACCAAAAAAATGATGAAGGCTAACCAAATTATGTCTTAGGAATGGAAATTTGTCGATCACCATTAACATTTTCCCAGCTTTTTATTGTTTAGCTAGAAGTTTGCTTTTGCCTTTTATATGATGAACCTCAATGCTACAACTGGATGAATTTTGATATAGTGAACGAGAAAGCCATCTCTGCCCTGTTCATTTGTGCATCCAACTGGATGAACCTCAATATCTAAGGGGTTTAAGAAATAGGTAAGATTAGTCTGGAAAGTCAGCTCTGTAACCAATGAATCAACTTCTTGGATTCATTTGGATGTTGTGTCCCAATCTGATTGCAATTATGCCAAGGACAAGGCAGAGGCATGGTGGCTGGATCATGGATTCTTCCAGTCCTGTACCATGGTTGACGATGACTTCAATTTTTTATGGTGCATTTGTACTCTAAGATCCTCTTTTGTCTTCCTGTGTCCCAGGTAGAAGAAAGGAAGAAGGTTTATGTCGTGCCCCACCTGTACTGTATGGTTGTTGGACCAAGTGACAGCCTTGAGGAAAAGATGCATGAACAAAATGGGCCAGCACAATAATATGGAGAATATGCCCACCTTTCTGGGGAGGCCGATGCTACTTCCATCCTATTTACATTGTCTCGGGCTCTCGTTCTCAGGAGTTTGTGTTTCGGAGAGTGCTCTTTTTTTCTTAGTTTATTTTCGATATTGTATATCCACATCCAGACATCTTCAAGGGGTTTACTAATAATCAATTTATCCATTGTTTAGTGGGATCAGTCCATCTATGCCTATATAACCTCAGCTTATTCATCTTTTTGAAGCAAAAATACCCTTAGAGCCATTCAACAGTAAATGAGGATACAATTGCAACACATCTACTGCTAGCCTGCTACAATTTCTTTCAAACCATTATTTGAAGCAAAGCAGAAAATTCTCCAGAGGTTTCTAATACCGTGTTATTTACACGAGACATTACGGTTTCAGGACAACCTGGAGACTCGATAAAAAGGAAAGATCTATGATGCTGAAAAAGCAAGATTTTTGATACCTGAAAGGCTTTCTGATCAATCACCCCCATAAGTTTTTTCTGATATCATGTCTTTCCTCATTATGGTCAAAGTTGTCAAACCTCTAAATAAAATATCAACACACGCCAGTGTTTGAAAGATGAAAGGAAAAACAAAAAACAAAACATCAAGACAACTGGTGATTTGAGTTGGTTCTCAAAATACAAAAACAAAAAGGTTTCAATTCAGGCCATCAGCGATAGCGAGCGGCGTTGTGAAGTTGATCAAGCTTATGTGTCTATTTGAGAGAGCTGAAGCACAGCAGCTTAAGGCTTTCTGAGGTGGATCTTACATTAACAGCCTTTAAACTATGGTAAAAAATCTGGAGAACCCAGATTTATCCTCCTTGAGACAGCTTATTCGAAGTGCCTCAAAGAAGTTAAACCAGCTTAACTGAACGTTCAGCTCAGCCCTTCCAAACCGGCAATAAGATGGAAAAACAGAACATCTTGATAAATCCCACAAATATATCAATAAGACAATAAATCTTGCAAATTTCTATCACCGATGTAATTGGAGAAATATGGATGATCCAAACTATAGCCTACAAAAACTGTAAAAAAAGTTCTTAAGAATATTGAATAATAATTTAATGGTTAAATACTTTCAACAACAAACATGATTGCCACTATAGGTCCATTCATACTTGATAACATGAAAACCATTCCAACTGTGCCATGTGTCATTCATTTGTGAAAGCAATGCACCACACATCAGGCGTTATTTATGATATTTTGAAACTTGAATCAATTATGAATTAATGAAGAAAAGTGGCGTATAAGAAAGTTAAATGTGGGAATGAGAGAAATGAGCGTTATAAAAAAGAGAGACGTATAAAAAAGTGTTAGCCCGATACCATAACGAACGATAGAGTTAGAGACCATTGACCAATGACCATTCCACCGCTGCAACTTAGTGATGTTTTAAACCATGGCCAAACGAGCCTCAATTCTTCCAGTTGGGACTTGGGAAGGAATAGTTGTTGCGCTAGTAAATACAACAGAAGTGGTTCAAAAACATGATTGCTCATGGCTTGCTGAAAAGGAGAAAGTTGGCGTACTCACAGTCATCACACATACAAAGAAAGATGGTAAAATTAAGGATAAGCTACAGAGACCTATCATGTGCAGTTGTGCATTGGGGATAGTAACACTTGGGTTCAAAGGTTCAAAGTATACTCGTGCCAATGGCTTACCTATACACCCCTCCAGGGGTTGTATCGGGTCAGCCACCGGTTCAGAGACTAGTTGAGCCTTAAAACGACCCCTCTTGAACTGGTTTCAAAAAAAAAAAAAAAAAAGAAGTTAAAAAAATGTACCGACACAGTTATACTGTATTGTATTTTCACTTTTCAGATTCCAACGTTCCTATCATTCAGCATTCCTCAAAATTATCTTGCATTATTGATATGTCCGATATGCCAGTAGGGGCATATTGGACCATATCGGTACTTTGTTTTATACTTTTTTTTCAAAACCGGTTCAGGGGAGCCAGTTTAAAGCTCCTCCACTCCCTGAACCGGTCAGAACCCCGATACACCCCCTGTAGGAATGGATCAGGGAACTCCCAAAACGATACGTATCGGCTGATACGTGTTGATACTTTGAACCTTGGCATCTTCAAACCCCAAGTTTTCTCCCTTAAATAAATGAAAGAAAAAAAAATTCAAAACTTGGGTTTTGGAGATACAATAAAAGAGGGCAAAATGATCCCATGAAGTTCAGAACGGGGAGAGCAAAACCTTAAAACCTAAAATTACAAGGTCGCTCAATGTTGCAAATAAAAAGTTCAGGGACCCAAGTATTACTATCCCCAAAGTGCAGGGTAGTTCTTTGTATCTACTTCAGAACGTGGAGATGGACTGAATGATAAAATGCCAAGTACTTCAATTATAATATCTCCTGGACACGTCAGAAAATAAAAAAAAAGAAGGAATTGGAATCCCTTGTAAATTGTAATTCCAGAAGATAATTATCTGCCTACTTACCTACTGTGATCCGTGGGAGTAGGAATAAATAAAGATGGGTCCATTCTTCCCGTATGGACATAAATACCACTCTGCAGTCCGGGGCCCAGCCAGTACTAAATTGAAAGCATATATATACCTTACATACAATCAAAAAGATGAAACGGTGGGTCATAGATTTCTTGTGTTGCTCCAGACCTCCAGTTTCATATGTCTGCATGGGTCACTCGACTAAAGTTGTCTCCCTGACTATCCAATGGCATGTATTGCGCCATGATGGCCCGGATTTCTGAATCCATGTATCTCTGCACAAACGAAAATCAACATATAACAAACAAATATTGGGCGTAGCCAGGAGCCAGCCATTGTAATCACATGGATCGACAAATCAAGCAAATACATAAAAAAAAAATTCACGTTTGATAAATTCTATGTAGAGATGGCATACATTAATCTCTAGGACATGCAAATAAAAGGGCAGCAGCATTACCCGGATTCTATATTTGTACACTGCGTATCCCCCAACGCCAATGGCAGCTAAGGCAAGGACGATGACCCCCACAATATTCCAGCCCATTGTTGATGTTCCCTGCTTGCCTGCATCATTCCACGGGCAACATCAATGGTGCATATAAAGAAAGATGAGATGATAAAGAAGGGTGGCAGATTATGTGCAGTTTTCCAGTGGTAATTTTGTTTGGAATCGCATTTTCAGAAGAGATTTTAAATGACTGGGAGATTGAACCTTTGCACGATTGTTGCAAAAGCTTTACAACACTCACATTGATCCTAGCAGAGATGAGAGAAGACTATGGTTGGAAAGAAAGGATGGGCAGTTCTCTGCAAGTAAGTTTTATAACAAGTTGATTCGGGAGGAAGAACAGGAGTACCCATGAGCTTAATTTGGTGTAAATACATACCCTCTAAAGTAGCCTTTTTTGTCTGGTCTGCCTACTTCAATAAGATCTTGACTGAGGATAATCTCTTTAATAGAGGTGTGGGGATTGATTCTTTACAGTGTGTACTCTGAAACAGGGTGGATGAATCAGTGGATCACCTGTCATTACGCCGTAATTCTCTTATTATAGTATCTGGGAGAAAGTCTGCAGGCTCTTTGCTTTCAAGATATAAATGCCTAGCATCGGAGAAAAGCTTCTTAAAAGGATGGCATCTACAAGAAATGAATTAAAAAGGAAAAGCTATTTGGCAAATGATTCTTGGAGCAGTGTTGTGGACCCTATGGCAAGAGAGGAACTCTAGAATTTTTCAGAACAAAGGCAGTCCAGTTGAGGATGTTTGGCAAAAAATTTTGGGCAAATAGTTTTCTTGGTTTTCAGCTCAGTTGAACCTGAACAGATCAGATTTCAGTTTCCTTTTTGATTATGAAAATCCTTTGGTATTGCAAATGGCTAGAGGTATAGTTTTTGTACAGGGCATTTTTTTGTTTGAAATCATACTTTACCTCTTTTCAGAAAAAAAAAGAAGAAAGAAAACCCAAGTCAAGAAATTAAGGCTATATTTGGTTTGAAAGAAAATAAGAGAGAATATTGAGGGAAAGTTCTCAAGGAATTTCACAGAAATTGTTAAGAACTTTCCCTTATTCGGTTTCTCTCTTAATTTCTTTCAAACCAAACGTAGCCTAAGGATATCCATTATTCCCAAAATTTCCAGCACAAAGCGATAAAAGTGAGTGGCAGAATATGTCCCAAATGCTTGCGCATCACTATTAAACAAGCATTATGCTTCATGGGGAAATATTCGTTGACATTGGCCGGTTGCTTAAGAAGCCAGCAGAGCTAAACTTCAAGTTGATCAGATTGTTTCATATCTAACAACTAGATTCTTTGCTAGTAATGGACCTTAACATTTTCTCATTGAACATTAAAAGCAGATGACTTGACAGAGATACTCACTTATACATGTATCATGTTCTCGCATGTACAACAAATTTCCACTGCAGCTGCATTCATAGCTACCCCAAGTGTTCTTACATATGCACTCAGGACATTGGCAAGCAAGCTTTTCTTTACATTCATTTACATCTGAAATACAGGGAGAATAAGATTAAGATAGGTAATAGAGGAATAAGTAATATATTCAGTTCAATATCTGGTTAGACCCAAAGAGAAAATATCAAATCAAGTTCATTGTATTTTTTTACCAAAAAAAAGTCCATTGCATTTACCCCCATGTTATGTGGATTCACCCTTTATTGGTTTCTTTGACAATAAATAAACAAAAACAACTGATAATAGCATCTACGTAATACTACCGAAGCAAATATCTACTACGCCAGACCGAGGTAAGTGTCTTGACAACCTAATGGTACTTCTCAGAATTCAGTGGTTTTGTGTGTTGCCTATGGCAATATTTAAAGAAACCCAGGGCGATAAATGTAGAAGTACCTTCACATGTATTGACTCCATCACCCTTGAATCCTGGTGGACATTTGCATCCCTTAGATTGACCTTCCTGAAAAACCCAAAGAAAATTCACTTAAATCAGAATCCAGAACAACAGATATTAAGAATACAGAAACACACCAGCTAGAGAGGTTCTACCACACAAAAAGTTGATACACTTACAGTGCAAGCAGAAAAAGTCTTGCCATCTTGTGTTTTCTTCCAACAACCACCATTATTAATTACACAGCGTAAAGATCCTGAGGCTGTTAAATCAAAAACTAATTACTTGACTAGTGACTAGATAAAATTACATATACATGTGATTGAATATGGATGATAACCGGCTAATCAATCAGTATACACAGTGCATGGATTAAAAGGTAAGCTTATAAAGAAAGGGACCACTGATCAGGTTTGAGACCTAGTTTCTAAGGTTGGTTACCAGTACCAAATGTTAAAATTTAAAAGCCTACTACTTTTATGTACACAAAGAACTGCAGCTAGTAAGTAGTAACATGAGAAAGAAAAAGGAAAATTTTCTTTCTTTTTCAAGGACAGACATTACACACATAATAGAAGATTAAAATACAAGATCAAGCCATTACCTTCGCAATGTGTGTATCCATCACCAACAAACTTCACACCCTGCACAATAGGGCATTCGCACAATCTCCCACGAAAAGTATCCTATTGGTTTCATATACATAAGAAAATAAGAAAAAACCATCTCAGAACACACATCAAGATCCAGTTAGAAATCTATCAAATTCAGTGGAAGGATATTTTCTCCCTATAATGATTTGTTGGGTGGAAATGGTTTCTCACAATATACTCGAATATAAAGTTCAATATATATAATGTATGAGAAATTAACACATAAAAAGAAAGTTTACCAAGGTCAACTTAGGTAACTCTTAAGGTTTAATCGTCTTCAGAAATAAATAAACTGGAGGCACAAGATCCACCAAATATGTGCAGAGGTTGAGTTGACAAAGTACCTTGCAAGCAGTAATATTAGTAGCCTTGTCCTGCCAGCATCCCCCATTATTTTGCAAACACTCATTGGTTTCTATCCCTGCAGGAATCAATTCATAATTTTAGATCTGATGCAAATACCTGCCAAGTCATCCTAACCCAGTACCATAAAGCATGGCTGTTTGGCCTCTTAGAAAGGCTTCGATTTTGGATGATTTAACATTTAAGTTTAGTGAATGGCCAGGAAAGGTCTAGACATAGGTAAGAACTGAGAATCCAGTTGGTGTTATTTCAATACTATCCCAACCAGGGGGTGGTAAAATAAGAGAATGAGAAGGAAGTCTTAATGATGTATATTCTGTAAAAGAGGCTCTATAAAAACTCAAAATATGATGGAATTCTACCTAGAGGTAAGTGTCCAATGTCAAGATAAATGAATGCAGAAGATGTTATCTCACCTTCACTTAAACAAACAGCTGGCTCAGTAGTCTCTTGGAAACCTGCACATATTGCTTTCAGAACTGCTCCCTTATCCAACTTACCTGAAAGAGTTAGATGGAAACATTATTAAAATAAAATAGCTACATTTGATAAGCCCAAATTCTAAATAATCGTGAACTGGACTGCACGAAACCTCTATATTGTCTATCATTGATGACAAGAGTTGGCAATATCGTCACATCTCCTCGAGAACCTTTGCCGATCTAAAATCAGGATTGGAGGCAAAGTAAGAAAATTGAGATGAGGAAAGATTACAATGGAATCACAGGTAGAGTTGAAAATTTAACCTGTGCATCTTGTTCAGCTTTAAGCACTGGATTTTCAACATCAGCCTCAGTGTCTCCAATGCATTTGTCTATCTTCTTTACATCGATACCTGAAATATGCAACAAAATTAATTGTACTAATGTTGCACTTCAACACTATTAGGTAAACATGAGCAGAAAGCATGTATATAAGCTAATCAGTAAGTACATTTTTTAATATAAATTTTCTTTCAGAGCTAGACAGGACAATTGGCTTTTCAACTGGGTGAAAGGTTGGGAAAACACCTGAATCAAAACCTCTAATCCATGGTCAAAGATAGAAACCATATTTACACATTAAAATGTACATACAGCCCATATTATGCCAATAGCCCAGGGCCTATCCACATGAGATATAAACCAAGGCAACAAAGGCAGTGGTACCTAGATGAAGATACTCTAGTAATTCTGATTAGCCATCTTAATCATCAAAGCCTAGGGAGGAAAAAGGGTTTGGCAGCAGAAATATTTAAATAAGCAATTTATCCAATATGAATAAGAAATACTTTTCTGCTATCTTATCCAAAAGTTACTCGGATCACGTTGAGTATAGTTCAGTTCAGAACTGCATGAGAAGAAAGCAAGTTCCTGGATATATAGGAACATTAAGATTACCAGATAAACAACTGTCCAAATTGGCTGAGTTAAACATGCATTGAGCATCCTAGTCATTATCTCCCCCCTTCTCCCTGTTCTTGGGAGCATGAGAAGAAAGCAAGTTCCTGGATATATAGGAACATTAAGATTACCAGATAAACAACTGTCCAAATTGGCTGAGTTAAACATGCATTGAGCATCCTAGTCATTATCTCCTCCCTTCTCCCTGTTCTTGGGAGCATGCGCTCAAAGGAGAGGAAAAGCTCTCTCGTTTTGGAATATATTAGTTCTGTTTCCTCACTTTTCTCTCCTCCCACCCCCTCCCCCCTTCTTCACATATATAGGTCATTCACATGTGACATACTTGAAATATGAATAATAGAAGTTCTTAACCTACCAAGGGACTGGATGACTTGATCTGCACACTCCTTGGTGTATCTCTTCTCTTTCATTGGGCACCGAATGGAAAAGTCAGTAACATAGTCCCACCAAAGCCATGGCTTGCCACTTTCATTTGCAATTCTATACAAACAAGCCTGGCGTAGATTTTGAATTACAACATCCTTTCCATCATACCCTCTACTGAAGTCCTGTTCAGGATCCGGGGCACAGTACCTCCCATGGTTTATGCACTGAGACTTACACTGCTTGCTCAAGGTAAAGGCATCTGGACAGTACCAAGTAATGTAGTGAGGGGTAAACTGTGTGTAACCTTTCTTCTCAAGTATCTGGGCAGCTCCTTTGAAGCTCCTGACAAACTCAATCTGGCTATCACACTTAGGGCCACACTCATCATTGCTATTCGTCCACAACTCGTACTCAACTCGCTCATCTGGGTGGGGAAGTGCCTCCCTCCAATCCAGATTGATGTTAATCATGTCACCCATCGATAGAGATTTTTTTATTCTGTCCCCAAATGTCTTGCTGATAAGAGCTGATGGGATGCTGATATTCTGTACATAATCAGCCCGTGCATTCTCTTCTTCCGGGGTATCCATGGTGATCAAAGGTTCAACCTTGTCGTCAGAGACAAGTATAGCTGCTGCTCCAGCCTTTTGAGCATTCCATGCCTTCAAAGTGAAGAAACAATCTGCCCTTACAAAAAAAAAAAAAAAAATCGGTTAGAAACAAATTCTTGAGGTGACTCATTCTAGTGGGTGCATGTGTGGAAGGAGAGGGGGAGCAAGCTAATTTGTCTGTCGACAACGACGAAACAAGGTCCAACATATAACGCAACAGATACCAAGATGAGCTTCTGAAATTTCTAAAACCCAAATGCAGGGAGCCAGAGAATCAGGTGCCACATCCAGAAAAAAAGGTATCAGAGTTCAACTGGGCAACAGGTATAAAACATTAAAGAAGAGCTCGTCTTGGCAAAAAAGGTCTCTAACAGAGCTCTCAAGAAACATAATGCAGGCCATAGAGAATGTTTACACCCAAATCATATCGACAAGGCAATATTCAACCACTAATAATTATCTATAAAACTAACAAACAATACCAAAAAAGAAACATTAATCTCAAAACCGGAATTAGTGGATAAAACAAACTCACGTGTTAAAAGAATTGATCAATCACTACCAAGCACTAATTGATCAAAACATTAGAACTCCAGCGAACTTAATGACACTCAATTAGGAGAAACACATCAAATTAACGGAACTGACCTCCTCTATCGGCAAGAAGGAAGGTTGGAAGACCTCCTGGTTTGGATTTAAAAGACAGATCAACCTCGTCAAAGTCCTTGCATGCCTTCTGATTCGCTTTTGGATAAATTACAGTCCCAATCATGGTGCCGCCATACTGAGGAACACCAAAATTCCCGATTGCGCATTCATAAACACCTTTTAGGTCCTCAGGTGAAGTCACCTTTAAGCTATTCTTTTCCACCACAAATCTACCAAGACAAGAACCCCAGAAAAACAAAGCCCAGATGAAAATTGGCAGCAGTTTTTCCCTCATCTTCTCTCCTCCGGGGAGTATCCAAAACAAAGCCAATCACTACCCTATAATAACTGATCAATCCAGACGAAACACAGAACGAAAAATTCAATATTTCCCCAGAAAGACTTTATAACAGGGATAGCCAAGATCGGAGGGGTCAATAATGAAGAGAACCCGCATCATACAACTCAATGAGAAACAAAACCCACATCAGAAAATGTTCTGTTATCCCAATAACTAAGATAATTCAGATCGGAAATAGCAGTACGGCATTCAAAAGATCTGGTGTAAATTGATTATCTGGTTTTTATAGCTTTTTCAAACTCTATTACTTGTATGAAGACGTGAAGAAAGAGGAAAGCAGAACCTCAAACTTTCTCCCGGGTCTTCACTTCTTCTGAAAGAAGGAAACTTCGCCTTCGCTCCAGGATGAATGTCTCTCACAAACCGCCATGCATTGTTATTGTTTCCTTAACCGGTAATTAAACACTTTTCAATTTCAATTTATCGCGACATTATCAATCAATCTATTGAAATTCATTCGATATACCCCATCAACGGCCAAAATGGTTGTTTCTAGTCTTTCTAACAAAGTCCAGATCTTTTATGTATTTATTTATCACCCTTTACCAGAACAGAACACGTGGCATAATATCCGTCTGTGAGTCTGTCTGCATCCCTCTGCATTCCTTTCCTGTAATATCCCTCTGTGAGTAGTCCTCTTCTAATTTTAAGCCCCTTTCCATCCAAAACACGTGTCAGTTGGTTCTGATTCTAAGGGCTGAGGCTAATGCCATATCCCATATATATAAACTTCACAATATCATGGGAGTAAGCATATTTTCTTTTCTATATTATTAATTATTATTAATAATAGTATAAAAAAATTAGTAGAAGGAGATAATAGATGACATGGGATATGTTATAATATATGATGGTTGGATAGTGACGGAAGTGGATGGATCAAACTATTAATTAGGGCTTCGACCAAAAACAATTTAATTAGGGCAAATTAAGTTTGTTAATAAAATTTTGTGGTTAAGTAATACAATTTCTACCAAAAGTGGATAGTTCCTATTCCTATACATTATAAAGATAGAGTACACGTGTTAGAGAGAGAGAGAGAAAGGAAGTGGTAGAAACTAAAAGCAGGAGAGGTGGCCCATGACGTGTTTAATTGTTTCACGTGGTGCTATTTTCAATATCATATATCTTCATCGACCCTTCTCTTTAGTGGTGAGTGGTGACCTTAAAATCGGTTAATCATATTCACATTGGTGGGTAACAACAAACAAAGGACGTCAGTGAGACGTATTCGAGTCACAGAGCTACAATTTGATGATTTTAAGGGTTTGTTTGTCAAGTTTTTTGGGAAAGATCTTTTGGTAGCTATGACAGTCAAGATGTATTGAGATTTTGTACGAAGATTTAAGCAATCTGAAGTTAGTTTGACAATATTACATCTTTTCGTGTATCTTTTTATATCTTTTCGTGCAAGAATAAAACGCAAAAAACATAAAAAGTTTCATTTGGAGTTTTTCGAAATCAGCCTAAAATGGAATTCTCGTGCCTTTTCAATATTCCTGCTTTTGGTGATTAGATCTTTCACGAACTAAACAGGAATAGACCGGAAATCAACTTATAAACAACCAAAAAACCAACAGAAAGACACTTCAAACAGGCCCTTAATTTACTGACTATAAGACACATTTTTGGCCATATTTATCCAGCTGCACATTGCCACATTGGGATGTTATTTCATATAACCAATGTTTTGTGTGGGTGGATGAATGCGACCAACAATGTATTGTGATCAGAAGATTCAAACTCCAACTTAATATTTTCTTCATACCAATCATAGCTGGGGCAACTCTTAAGGAGTGACGAAGAATACAATTAATTTGGAAAGGCTATGGTTTTAGCCTTTTTGGGATGGGTATATGTCCGTCAGAGTTGAGATGTAATAACAGTAGTGTCACCCTTAATGAACTGAACTATTTCAGAGGTGCATGCCATTAAAGCGTGCCTCACATCAATTTCAAGCATGTCTTGGAAAACATCTTCTGTACTTGTATTTATTATTCATAGGAAATATTCCCCATACAAATGAGTTGTGGTTGTAAAATCCATCTGAAGCGCATTCTATGAAGAACAAATCCCAATTCCTTGTACAAATATATTACTGGTACAAATACTTATTAACCCACATTCATTCAGAAATAGGATTAACTGAACACAATAGTTATTTAGCTGTTAAACAAACTGTAGAACTAATAATAAAACTTTAGACTAGTCATAAAATTCATATGGCCCATAACCACTCAACTTTTTAGTATGGGCACATATATTTTGCCACTGGTATGGGGCATTATTATCATTGCTAGATCCACAGGTTCTTACACAGCTAAAGAGTTTGGCTAATCGGAATTCATTCATCATGATGTATGATGTCTAAGTAGGCTCCCCAATACGATGGCAGGTACTAATGAATGATACAATAGGGGTGAAAATAGTTGCTGCTACACGGGCTGCCAAGAACTTAATCAGAAAAGACTAAGGGGTGAAAATAGCTCACTATCTGAATTTTAAAAAATGTGCTATACAGTATTTGAATTCTGCAAAACTATCACTATCACTTTAGTCCAACACTCTTAAATAAAAGACATTGTAGTGGGTAGTAAAATTGTCAAATTGCCTTTGCTATCATAAACAATCAAATACATTTATAGAACTGATGGATTGGTCTCTTCCATATTTCACCATGAGAGCATGAAATACCCTTGTACTTGGCAGGTTGTCACAACTTGGGTTGTGTTTGGTACTACTGCCACTTTTATATGTAATGTTTTCTGTTGGTCAATACAAATTTTTGAGAAATTATCTTTTCACATCATATCGGATAACCAATTCCATTAAAAAAATTATAGGTATGGGATTGTGTGTTGCCATTTATAGTAGAAACACTAAATTTGGCGTTTCTTGAAAAAGCAACAATGATACTCAATGTTGTATTGATAACTCGAAGCATTTGTGGTAAAAAAAAATATATTCTCATAAAATTTGTATTGAACAACTTAAAATATTGCAAGTATAAGTGACAATGGTACGAAACACAACTTTAGTCTCTTCCATATGCTGCCTATATCAAAGGGACTTATTAGTTTCGATTCATTCATCCAAGATTTTTAAGTGTTGGATCAGGGAATTATTGACTATGACTTCAAGGAATGACTTCAAGAAGACATCGGGGCATCTTTAAGAGGATGTTGATTGGTGGGACTCTACTCACTGTTGTTTTGTTTTAGTTTTGAGGAAGAATACGATAAATAGTGCCTTTCTTCTAGGTGTGGATTCGAGCCGAATAGTACCAGGCTCGAGTTCAGCTTGAGACTATTCTACAAGGCTCGAGCTCGGCTCGAGTCAAGAGTTCATAAGCTCAAGCTCTGCTCAGCTTGGCTCGTTTTATATTTTATAAAAATATTTAGAAAAAAATATTTTATAAAAATAAAAATTATATATAATTTTTTATTTTATATTTAAAAAATTAAGAATTATAATATATATATATATAAATTCGAATCGGCTCGCGAGCCTCACAAGCCGAGCTCTAATAGGCTCGAGCTTAGCTCGTTTAATAATCGAACCATTGAATTGGACTCGAGCTCAAGCTCGACTGAAACTAAGCCGAACTGAACTTTTCACGAACCGAACTCGAATAGCTCATAAAAAACTCAGCTCATTGCCACCCCTACTTTCTTCCAAAGGATAATTTTAAATTTTTAAGAGTTTCAAATCGCATATGATATCATGTGCATTAGATAATTGGCAAAATGTTAACAATGGGTCTAAAGTTGCAGTTATCAAGAATTGATTAGACACTACAAGTTTAGTAAAGTGAGACTACCCCAAAGTATAAGATTTTAATCTGAAATTTACCATTTTTTTATTAAATCCACTTTGGCTCATAGACAATATGAACGTTTTCTCGTAGACCGTGGAGATAGGTTCCAGGTCAAAGGGTGGTCCTCATCAAATTAATAACTTTTTTCAAAACAATGAGAAAATTTGAATTATGAATAAGGTAGAAAGTTGTAAAATACATGTTTCTGTTCCATTGTATTATTATAAATCATTTTATTTAAGCAATAAGTAGTATGTGTTAACATGAAAATAAATAAATGAAGAGGTTTCAGTCTGTAATACTCTCTCTGACAGGTGGCTGTAAAGTTCAAAACCTTGTTCAGCATTCTTACCAGTTACCATCAACTAAGCTTTGTTTTCATTTGTTTTTAAAATCATCACATTAGCAATGAGGTTTTTCCGCTGTGTTTTTTATTTTGAGAAGCAAAATCAAGTTAGTTTTATCTCAATATCAGAACAAATGGTTTTAAATTAAAGGGTAAATTGTGGATAAGTATCCTATATTTAAAGGTGTCAATGGACCGGTTTTGAATTGGATCCATCCAGTCCAAAATCAATTTGGACGGATTGGACGAATTTGGACGGATTGGACGGACTAACAAGATATATTGTATTGGACCAATTCAGTCCAAAATATTTATTAGATTGGATTAGACCTGGTCTGTCCCATTTATTTGGATTGGGTTGGATTAAGCCAATATCTGATCCATTGATATAAGATAAGAATATAGGTGTCAATGGACCAGGTTTGGATTGAAGCCAATCTATATCAAAACAAATTTGAACAGATTGGATGGTCCAAACATTGAATTGGACTGGTCTAGAATGGTCCAAAATATTCATTGGACTGGATTGGACCAGGCCCATTTATAATGGACTCACATTGGACTGGATCGGATTGGACCAAATCCAGCCCAATTGATACTTAGGGATAGTTTTTAAATCAAAGGGTAAATTGTGGATAGGTACCCTATACTTAGGGGTAGTTTTACTTTAGGGCCTGAACTTTCAAATGTGTTATTTTAGTACTTGAACTTTCAAATGTGTTACTTTAGTATCTGAACTTCCAATAATATACATTTAAGTCTAACTCTGTTAAACTAACATTGTGATGAGGGGTAAAGTTAAAAGAATGCTTATATTTTGACTCTCTTTTTCTTTTCATTGTTCATCTTTCTTTAAACTTTGAACTTTGGACCCAAACCAACAGCCACAAAGTAAGCGTCCAAAAGTGAGATTACCCCCCAAAAAAGAGGGAAGGCTTTAGTATTCAGGAGAAATCTCAGCAGAGGTTTAAGTCTTTTACCCTAATTTTTAAATTATATTGGCAAGGAGAACCACAAACCCAATTTTCTAGTTAGTGTTGGGGTTAAAACCCTTGTAAATAGTTTAATGTGAGAAATCCTTCAATGTGAGGATAAAGATCATGGGACCTTGGTAAAAAAATTTCTGCTATTAACAAGAATAATGGGATTACAACTTCTCTAGATTCAATTGGAAGATAAACAAAAACTTCAAGGACCAAGAACTTCTCTTAGATATACTAAAATAGTTACCAAACAAAATATATTTCAATCAATAAAATTTGAGAAAATCCTCACCAAATAAAACAACCAAAGGCCTCTACAAAACAATGAGTAAAAAAAAAAACCCACCAAAAATTTGATGAAATAGATATAAAATAATAGCCAAAAATTGATTGAAGTGTTGCTCTTGTTCACATTGCAAGAAACATGAACTATTCTTTTTCTCTTATAAAAGAAGATTAGGTTTTTTTTTTTTCTTCCACTCACTCTCTTTTTCACATAAAAAAGGATACCAATGAATGAGATGAAAATGTTAAGAGACTCTCCATTGCAATACAAAAGAGACATGTAAAAAAAAGGCTAAAGGTTAGTAGAGAGTTGATCCTTGTCCATGGGCTGGTTTGGGTTCAAGTCAATCTCTTCCTCTTTATTAACAGAAAATGTCCAGGCCCAAGTCCAAGTTCAGACTTGAGCTCAAACCAACCATCAGGCTTAATCTTAAGTTGGAGCCTGATAATGATTTAATAAATTAATATATATTATATATTATTAATATATTTTATTTATATAATTATATGTAATGGCTTATTTGAGAAAACTTGAGCTTAGTTTGAAAAATAGTTGGGCCTGCCCATCGGATGATCTGGCCCCATGAATAAATTTGTATACGCTAACACAAAATAAGACAAATTTATCTCTTTCTCTGGAAAAATAAAGAGAATGCCAATTGTGAAATACAACCTCTCACATAAATAAACCCCACCTCTTGAGTAGGAAAAAGCCAACACATAGACAAGCAAGAGACTGGAGAGGCAATTTCCTCGAAGTTATCAAAAGGCTGGGGATTAGATGAGTTCATCAGATTGGCGCCCTATAGAACATGCCCCACACGCACTTCTCACCGTGCATTGGAAACTTCTCCCATACTTGTGGGAAGATGTTACCAATACACAATTGAGATGTGCTTGTGGGGAAATCCAATACATGGTTGGATGTGCAGTGGATAGCCCATTGAATTGACTAGACATATCTTCAATGAAACAGAGAAGCTTGAACAAGGTGTGGTGGCTGCTTTGTCAAGATCAAATCAGCCCCCAGAAGATTGCCCCCCACAACATCCCACAGTACATCCCCACTGTGTAAGATTGCATCTGATAAAAAAACACTTTGAGTTAGACGTTGGAGCAGCAGTAGAAACAGGTTAGAACTTAGGAGAACCCAACCCAATTGTTAATCACCTAACTAATAGTCTAATAAGATTTCTCCGAACTCGACTTCCCCAAAACAGAAAAAAAAAAGGAAAAGGACTACGAAACCAACATTGTTGTTGGGGGCAGGCCAACACGACAGGGACACCTACCTTCATAAGTAAGTAAGCAAAGGACTACGAAACCAAGTCATCGATCGATGCCAGTAAAATCCGAAGACGCTCTTATCATGTCCCTGTCTTGATTGCATAAATACAACACGCGCTCCTCAGTCCCGAGTACTGACCCATTCAAGGTTTTCAAGCAACCCATCAACACAAACGCCAAAATCCTCCGCACAAATAGAGGGAAACCCTCCAATAAAAAGGAAATTTAACAACAATTACGGTTTAGCTAATTGATTAATACTATTCTTACTACTTTTGATAATTGACTAATTCTACTTGTTAACGCCCATTAGTAAAAAAGCGAAAAAGATTATTTTACCCTTTATTTATTTTTTTTTAATTTTCAAAATAAAACAGATAATTGGGAAAAGAAACATTGAAGTCAGTGATTTCAGCACTTACAATTTTTTTAAAACCTAATATTGCCCTCGTACCCTGAGTCCCCACTCTCTCTCTTCTAATACCTCCGCCTCTTGCCTGGAGTCATCGGAGTGCCCAAGATTCTGCATCTTTTCATATTCGACGGAGCCTAGATCATCGAGAGCACCGCCAAGCCAAGAAATGAAATCGCCCAGGTTGAAAGCCTCGAATAGCTTCGAGAGTTACTGCAATATGGCGACGAACTTGGCAGGTAACCAGTCGTCCCCCAACACAAAGTTGGAGACAGTGAAATTGGCAGCATCTGTAGCGTTTATCACATGGTAACCCGGCCACGAAACCCTGTTCGTTGTCACTGATCCTGCGCCTGTATTGTTGTATTCCGCGTAGTAGAGTATGCTCAGTGCAAAGTCTCCAGACCATGCTATCCAGCCAGCTGGATCTATGAAGTTATCAATGAAAGGTTGCGAATAGACAGCATTAGAGTACTCTTTCCATGGTTGTCCTAGATAAGAGCTTGTAGTTCCATTACTAGAAACCAAGTCTGGAGTTGCCATGATATTACAGTTCTCAATGGAAATTCCGGTGTTCTAGTTTGGGTCTGTTCTGCCTTGGGCGGTCAGGGCATTGAACTGTCCTTGCATCGGCAGCCGGGCATAAATGTTGCAGTTTTGAAAAACAGCGGCGGCATTTCCGAATCTGAAGTCCACAGTTCCATATATATCACATTCCCTGTAAAACTGCCTGAGGGAATGGGCGTATAGGGTATCCTGGTAGCCTTCGAAGCTACAGCTGTAGAAGGTTGACAAGTCTGCTCCATTCTGAACCGCCACCGCCTGATGCTTGATTACTCCGGAGGGGAGGTATTAGAAGAGAGAGAATGGGGGCTCAGGGTACGAGGGTGATATTGGGTTTTAAAAAAATTGTATAGGTCACATAGGTCACATGTGCATAAATTGTGACAGAGCATCAACGGATATTAACGAATAGGGGTAGAGTTGGTCAATTTTCAGAAACTGGTATTACTGGTCAATTTTCAAACAATAAAGTATATTTAATCAATTAGCGAAACCATAAGGGTAGTTTTCTTGTGATGATTTGCATTTGTTTGAACCCGAAAAGAAAATTTGATACTTCAAAGGTTTTGAAGCTAATTCATTATACAGACAAAAGAAAATGGAAAAAAAAACAGAGGTAATGAGTAATAACAGTTTCAGCAATTTGAAGTATGTTCTTCAATAAAAGAACCAGATGACCATTAGAAATGCCTGTGGTGGTGATGGTAGTGTCTATACTCATCCCATCCGAAGCACTGCAAGATGGGGTAACAAGCAACGAACAAGCATCTTCCAAGACCTCTAAATATGGAGGAGACCAGAAGACATGGGCAGCAACAACAGGCCAAGAAAGGATCGTCGTATGGGCTATCGCTTCCATGGTGATGGTGATGATGGTGGTGGTGACCCATCTTATCTTCCTTCTTCAACTATATATAATTACCAAACAGCAGTTAAAACCCGCAAATCGAATACTGAACCAGAAGCCCCTTTCCACTCAAAAAAGTTCAACAAGCCTAAATCTCTGCAAATAAGTTATTTAGCAAATCAAACCCATAATACCCATCTCAAATTTTCTTTTCTTTCCTTAATAAAAAAAAATCTAAGCCAAAAAGGAAAGAGAGAAAACTTCCCAAAGTTCAGAAAGAAAAGGAAAGAAAATCGCATAACAATACCTGGGTTCGTGGATATCTCGAAGCTTGTTGAGTTATCAAAGATGAAGCATCTAAGTCCCCAAAGGCAAGGAGTTACAACATCAAGGGCCTCCAATTGAGATCGATGATTGATCGTGAGAAAATCGCTAAGATTCTCTCTGGAGCCTGAACTGAATTCTTCCAACAACTTCCTTAGTAGCCAGCATATAAAGAGGAGGGGAGAACGGGGAAGGCTTGCGAAAATTAAAAAACTAAAAACTTGAAGCAAGGGTGCTCGCTGGAACGCGTAAACAACGCGTGATAGTGCGTGGGTAGGCTTCATTTTTATATTGGGAGAAAAGAAGACTGTAGTACTTCTCGAGCTAGCGAATTAAATAGCACTCGCCACTCGGTTAGCTTAGCTTGTAACGGCATCGGGATCTAATGGTTTGAATTAAATTTCACTTCGTTTTATATTTCCATGCTGCATAAATGACTAGCAGATCAGAAGTGGCTTGCAAGATTGTAATAATCCAATAGGATTTCAGCAATCAGCATCTGTTTCAACTGAATCCCGATCTTTTCCTTTAAAAGAATAAAAAAACCGTTTCAACACGTTTTCTGTATCCGCAGATTCCGCACATCTCGACTCTCGAGGACCAACTCATAGGTTGCTCGGACTTTTGGACATATGGGAATTTAGGAACCTAAATTGTGTTTGGTCCCCTAGAAAAATAAACGGAAAAGAGAAAGTTGTGGGAAAATTCTTATAAAACTTCATATCTTTAGGCTCAGTTTGGAAGGAGTACAAATATGAATATGTAGAGTATAAATACATATAAAATATGCCCTCTACATATATGTATTTGTACTCTTTTTAAATGGAGACTTAGGCTGAGTTTGGAAGGAGTACAAATGCAAATATGTAGAGTGCAAAACCTTATATTTTGTATTATTTTGTATGTATTTACATCGTACATATTTGCATTTGTACTGCTTCCAAACTGAGCTTTAGGCTGCATTTGTTTGCAATAAAAACACCGAACTGGGGTATTTATGCACCCCGGTTCGCGTTTGCGAGCGTTTGTTTGAAACGTAAAAAGGTAATGATTATCAAAGTAAAATTGCATTTTCTGACACTTTTGTACTCTAAAAAGAAAGCATTATTGTACATATTTTTTGGATACAAATTTGTATTCATTTGATAATTAACTTTTTGACCAAAGTTGAGGCATTGGAGCATAAGATAGTTGGGGTAGTGAATGATGGGCCCACACCTTTGCATCTATTTTAAACAAACGGGATGAATGCAAAAACGGTTTAAAATGTGAACCGTATTTGCATTCATGAACCAAAAAATGGGTAAATATGTAATGTACATATTTGCGTTTGCTTTGCAAACAAATGCAGCCTTAAGAACTTTCTCAAGGAGGGATGGGGGGGGGGGATTAGGAGTGTCGTGAATTAAGGATGGTCACTTAGGTATTGAGACCGAATCTGCTCCTCACACAAGGTGCCTCACACCGACCTCACAGGCATACCTCACCAGTCACCATGCATTGAGAGCATCTTCCGTACTTATACGTTATTAACTTATTATTCACAGGAAATATTTTAAATACATGGTGAGATGTGCATATAAGGTTGGTGTGAGGCACCTTATGTGAGTAGCAGATCCCAATTCTTTGGTATTAGTCTTGAGTAAGCTTGAAAAGCATAAGGTACACACTTGTGTTGTTTGAAACATGTTTCATGTTTTTATTGTGACTTTACAGTTTCATAAATGTTAAAAAAGCTTTTAAAAATAAAAAAAAACATAAATAGCTATTTGGTTGTGAGTCTTGTGGCATATTGCAACATCATACATGGCATAAAAAATTTCACGTGTTAGCCTATATAATTTGTGCATTGTTCATCTTGCCACGTGGCAAATCTACATGTCTTCAAAGAATTTATCCCTTATATGCTGCCACATGGCATCAAATTAATCATGCCATATGGTTCACAAAATAGTTGTTAAAAATGACCATAGCTATTGTTGGGAAATGGGGTCACTGAAACTTGGAGGAGAAGCTTTGAGGTGTGTCTAAAGACACTATTTTTAGAACGTTATTTGCCACCACTCAGTTTCACTGAGTTTACTATTGGGTTACAAGCAAATCCGTTTCCAGGATACAACAGAGCCTTGGGCGAGAATCTGCAACCAGCAAAGTTGAAGAGTCTTCGAAGAAACCTTTTGTGAGACTATAGCAGATCAAACTGAGAGAGAGAGAGAGAGAGAGAGAGAGAGAGAGTGTGAATTTCAAAATTGTTGTGTGTGAGATGTCTTATTCATGCTCCTTAAATAGTTTCAGAAGAGTTATGAAGAAAAGGAATGTGTTGGTTCAGAGAAAGGCACCATGAACAGTCACAATGTTTTAAAAGGTAGTTAATAGTTAATGACTATTAACTTTGAATTGTGCCTCTTGATCACACCCGGTCAATCGTGGCTTTTGATCATATCAATGATTAGCATCGCACCAAAAGGCCAAAGCCGCCCTTCGCGAGTCACGCAGGTGCGAGTAAAGTGCACCTCTAAAGTGCCTCATTGCATCGCACACACACGTGCACGTGCGTTGCGCGGTAACAAGCCTCCATACTCTCCTCTTCTATTTCTAAGGAGTGTAAATCAGTTCCTATTAAAAAACTCAAAACAAAACTTGTAATTCTCCAATGTGGAACAAGTTCAAAACTGGTTTTAATAAGAGAAAAGCTATTTTCTAAAACAAGTGTGCAGGTGCAATTTCTCATGTAATTGACCAATCAAACTCATTGGATTTAATCTCTAATGAGATTAAAATCCGACAGCTATGACCTATGATATATTGCATACATTAATGCAACGTGACATTTTTGTGACATGGCTATTATGAAATTATTACTTTCATGTCTAACTAAAGATGTAGTAGCATAAAAGCCTTAAAAAAGGGAAATCGTCCAAAACCCACCATCACTTTTTATGAATTCTCTTAAACTCATTATAACTTTTTATAACGTTCAAAACTCATCATGTTAGTAAGATAATGGTAACTTGACTAATGGGCATCATTAATTTACTATTTTACCCTTCTTCCGCCGCTGAAATCTTTCTTTTCTATCTTCGTAGTTTAACGACAACATTATTTTCCTTTCTCTCTCACTCTAACTCCGCCCTCTCTCTCTCTCTTTCCATCTATAGTGTTACAACTTACAAGTTTTGAAACCATCGTCCCTCAATCGTTGTAGATTGGCAGATGGATACCGTTCTTCTCTATGTATTCGTGTATGCTCATTCCTATTCTAATAGCACCCAGATGAGCACAAGAAGAAAGTGCACTCACCAACGTGAGATGAGCACAAGAAGAAAGTGCACTCACCAACGTGATACAATTAGGCTTACTATCTGACAATCTCATTTGACTGAACAGATTGTGGGCCTCCCTGTATTCCCCTATATGGGCATAATCATTGGTCATGGAAGTCCAACATGCCACATCTTTACCTGAAAATTCAACACACAACTCTCTTGCAAATGCAAATATGTATTTATACTCTTTTAAAATATCCAAATGCAATCTAACCGATGGCGAGTTTTAGAAAATAAAATCTCATTGACATGGTGAATTTTGCATGTTTTGAAAAGTTATGGTGAGTTTAAGAGAATCCATAAAAAGTGATGGTGGGTTTTGGACAATTTCAAAAAAAAAAAAAAATGAGGCATAAAGTGCCACATAGCCCCTCTAGAAAAGCCACATATATATGGCACACGGGAAGGTTTCACATGTATGTGCTCTCCGCATCTTGTGAAAAAGCAAAAATACCCCAACATTTGTGCCTGTGTTGTCGAAACACATGTATTCTTGATTAATGCTTTTGTCAAAATGTTTTTCTTTAAAAAGGGAAAATCTATGATACCAGAAAGACATCCCAAGCAATATTCTTTTGTCCAATCAAAGCAAATCCATGAATTTAGATGAATACCACATCATTGGTGACCTCTTTTATGATACCGAATTACCGATTGATTGGATGTAAGTTTTTCCAGCATTATGTCTTTCTGGATGAATACCACATCATTGGAGACCTCTTTTATTATATCGAATTACCGATTGATTGGATGAATGTTTCTCCAGAATCATGTCTTTCTGGTATTATAGTCAAACCCAAGGGAAAATCTATGGCACCTGAAAGACATTTGAAGCAATATTTTGCTACCCAAAATATGAAAGTACTCTCAGAAAAATTACTCAAAACATGACAGATAGTCATCCTGAACTTTCAATTGCAACACTTGAGTACCTTGAACTCTTAAAAATAGACACTTGGGTCCATATGTTATCAAGGTTCTAAATATCGACACAGGTTTTTTTTTTTTTAAGTTTTATTTATTTTTTTCGAAACAGGTTTAGAGGGGTCAGTTTAAGGCTCGACTACCCTCTGAACCAGTGCCTGACCCGATGCAACCCTTGGAGGGGCATATCGGTAAGCCATCAGCACAATACGTATCAGCCGTTACGGGCCAGTATGTATCGATACTTTGGACCTTGTCTATTAGTATTCTATCAGTTAAACATTACATAATCTAAAAAATTCCCTTCTCGTGTATTTTTTAGATCATTCTACGAAGTAAAATCATCACAAGAGAATGCCGTTGTTGGAAAATTTGAATATGTTATTTGTTGTTCATGTGAGAATGTCATCATGGGGAGACATTCGGTTACTTGAGAATGATCTCAGAAATACATGAGAAGGATATTTCTAGCATTATGTAATAGTTAACTGACCGAATACTAATGGATGGACCCAAGTGTCTATTTTTGAAAGTTCAAGATATGTTGCAATTGGATAAGATGATAAAACAAAAAACACTCAAGAGAGAATGAATGCGGAGAAGGGATTCAGAGTGGTTGGAAGATGGTGTTCTGAGGTGACAATGGAAGCCAAGTCGTTCAAGTTGGAAGATGGATGGACCAAAGATAGTTGTGCTTTGAAAATCAGAGAGAACAATAAGGCGACAATATTGGTGCCGGAGAAGGTTGTTGTATGGGTGAAAGGATTCGTGGATGGAGCTATCAGCTTGATTAAGGAGGAAGGGTGGAAAATTACTATGACAGTTCCAAGAAAAACCTTTGTAATCGAAGTAAGGAGAAATATTAAGGGGTTGTTCATTTCTGTGACTAAGTTTTTTGGATTAAGGGGAAAACAAATGATTTGCTTATTGGAAGGGAAAAGGCAGAAAGGTTGGTTGGTCTTTGTGGAGGAGTTGCAAGCTTTCCTTGTGGCTATGGAACGGAAGAAGAAGA